AATAGCAAACTATGTGAACTTTGGGCTGGAGTTGTGGGTTTTCTCTAACAGCAGAAGCCTGTCATGCTTGGCATGGTTTCTAATGTAACTTTCTGCTGTCTTTGCTTTTGGCTAAGACCGTAAATAGAAGCCCCAGGTCTTGCTAATTTACGGAGCATTCCCTCATCTTTGTTCCTTTTGAGCCTTACCAAAAAAGCTTACTGAGATAGTTAAGCGAGCAACAGCCCCACTTGACAAAGGAAGAAACAGAAGCAGAGATAAATGGCTTCTCCAAAGTCAGAGCTATGGCTCAAGTGCAGTGTGGACTGGAAATGAGTGTCACATTCAGCAGGATGCGGTCTCCTAGCTCTTGCTGTTGCTGGTTCACAGGTTTCCCACCTCTGCTCTTGTGGGACCGACACTCTAGTTCAAACCAGAGAGATGAACGAATGCAGGTTTTCATGTCTCTTCCTCACCTGTGTTTTGGAGGGGAGAGGACTGCTCTAAGAAGACCTGAATTACATAAAGAGAAATGTGGAAGTAGTGGAGAATTCTGTGGCCTTTTTCAGCAATGGAAACAGAAACCAGAGAGCCTTTATGATCAGCCAGCTGGCTCATAGCAGTGGAGGGCCTAAGCCAGTCCCCTCCTCCTCTGCTCACCTGTAAGTTCAGATATTAAATTCCTATGAGGATTGCTCAGTGCTAGCTTTGAAAATGAGGTTTGTTTCAGTTCTCTTTAATGATAACTTTTAAAAAATAGAGGATGTGGGCACTAACATACCAAAAGAATACTGAAGTAAAATGGATCCTAGTCCCCCCTTTTTAAGTGTTTCTCATCATTGTCTAACTTTTTGAAAATTTTTTTATTAGCACGCTATTGTTGTACTGGGGATACTTTGTAACATTTACAAAAGTAAGCAGTTTTGTAACAGGTCTCATTGTTCCATTTTCATATTTCTACCATATTTGTCCTCTTTCACCCTTTCCTTATGTCCTCCTTCTCCCCCCTGACTGGCACCAACCCCCAGACAGGATCTCCCCACCCACTTTTGAACAAAGTTTTAGCCTCACAATTTCTCTAGGGGTAATGAATACCCAGTTTTAATTTGTTCTGAAACATTTTTCTTTTCCCTTGATATGCTCAAGCCACGTGTGTGTGTGTGTGTGTGTGTGTGTGTGTGTGTGTTTGTGTGTGTTTTAATTCTATGTTCAAAGCACTTTTTTCTTTTTTGATTTTTTTGCTAGTACTGGAGTTTGAACTCAGGGCCTTGCGTTTGCAAAGCTGGCATTCTGCCTCTTGAGTCACACCTCAACCCAAAGCAGATCATTTCTTAAACTGATTAGATTTACAGTGTAGCCCTCTCCCACAGTAACTGGATTCTCCTGTAGTGAGTGACACTGTGGGGCCTGGATGGTTGGCTTTCCTCTATTATTTTTGAAACAGTAATCCAAATGCTTCATCAACTACTCTCAATTTACCTTTCTCTTTCTTTGCACAGTCCTTACTTCCATCACTGTCTGTTCTGTACTTGACCAGATCTTAGACTTCATGGTGAAATTGGTCCCTTGGCTCAGGTGGCTGCTTAAGCAGTAAGAGAAGTGCCAGCTGTTTGTGTAACAAAACAAATCAGCTCATGCATGTGTATCTTCTTCCCAGTTCTGGCTCCTCCCCACAGTATTTATGACCTTGGTAAATATTTATGACCTGTTTGTCAGGTGCCAGGCCTTGTGCTAGCTGTTAAAGATTCCAAATTAAGTAGTTCGCAGTCTCTGCCTTCAAAGAACTCTCCGTCCAATGAGGTGAGGCAGATAAATAAATGGGCGTTGTGACCTATTAAAGGTGCAGTCTTAGCAGGGTACACAGAGGCTGGTTCTTCTGGGGATTGGCCACAGCAGAAAGTGTCAGAAGAGGACTCCTTCCAGAGATGACTCTAGTGCTGAGCGCTTGGAGTGACTGTATTCTTGGCAGAAGGATCAGTCGGGTTCTTGAAGTTTATTTAATGTCAATCAGTTTCTTGGAGGAGGAGATAGGGTCTCTGTGGGAAGGCCTTGTTACATTAACTTGATTTGTATTTTGTCTGTTTGAATAGCTAATGTGGGTACACAATACTGCACTCAAGGAGATTTAAGATGGACCATAGGTAATGAAAACTGTTTTTCTCCTTCATTGTCTGTTAACCCTCCCAAAATGCAATGGTTAGTTACAGTTTCTTATGTATCATTCCCAAGGAATTTCAGTGTATACAGGTGTGTGAACAACACGTGTTCTTTAAAAATACAAGCATGAATTGGTGTGGTGGTACATACCTCTAATCCCAGTAATTGGGAAGCTGAGGCAGGAGGATCTCAAGTTCAAGGTTAACCTGGGCACCCTTGCAAGTTCAAGGCCAGCTTGGGCAACATAGTGAGACCCTGTCTCAAAAAATTCAAGCATGCATTCAAATGGTTTTCTTCACGTACTAATTTTAGACCTTGCTTCATATTACCATAGGTTGAACTGCTCTGTCCTTTTAAAACCACCACATGATATCCTGTTATATTGAGTGTACTACAACTTATTTAATCAGCCTTCCTTTGAATTTTAAGGTTGTTCCAGGCTTTTGCCTTTACAAATAATACAGTGAACATCCTGCATATATGTCGTTGCATGAAGTGACTTCTGAGGACAGATCTAGAAGTAGAATTGATAGATCAGAGAATGTGTGCTTTTTTGACAGGTATTATCAAGTTGCCTTCCAAAGGCATTGCATGTAAAATACGAAATTTAAGATTCTTTATTATTTGGCCACCACAACTCTTCTCTGCTCCCACCAGTTCTCTAAAATCCCTTTCAGAGTGATCTTAAATGAATTTGGTCATGTAACTTCCCTACTTACCATCCTTGTGTCACCTGGTTGGTTTTCTTTTTTTTTTTGGTGGGACTAGAGTTTGAATTCAGGGTTTCACGCTTACAAAGCAGATGCTCTACCTTTTGAGCCACACCTCCAGTTCATTTTGTTATGGTTTTTTTTGGAGGGGGAGCCTCACGAACTATTTGCCTGGGCTGGTCTTGAACCTCAATCCTCCCAATCTCAGCCTCCCAGGTAGCTAGAATTATAGGTGTAAGCCATTGGCACCCGGCACCACCTGGTTTTTAGGGTAGCATTTAAACTCCTTAGCCTAGCCCTTCCCTGAGCCTCTGCCAGGACTGCTGGCTCCCACAGTACTTTGATCCACTTATATTTGGTACCTCCTTTTCCTTTTTTTTCCCCTCTACCTGTAGATCATGTAGACACATCCTACACATCATTTAGAACTCAGTCTAGCCTTAGCTCCTGTGGATAGTCTTTCTTGATTACCTGCATTCATTCACAGGACACCTAAGCACAATCTTATGTAGCTTCATCTACTCACCACTTAAATATGTACAGTGCATGTGCTGTGATGTGGCACATACAAATGGAATTCTTGATGGTTCCAGGTTGTTGCCTTGAGGGGATGACAAATGCCTCATAGGGTTACCTGGTGTGGCTGTATCCGAACTAGCAGCACTATTTGGACCTTGGTTTTGGCCTCTGCCAATGAGAAGCAGCGCTCAGGTGTTAATGGTGATCGTCACAGAAATAGCAGCCAGGGGTTACTGAAGACTTATCGAACCTATTCCTTACATCAACCCTCCAAAGAAAGTATGGTTAACTATCCTCATTTCACAGATTGGGAAACTGAGGCTGAGAGGCTCTGTGACTTAGCCACAACATTCACAATAGAGAAAATAGATTTGAAGGACATTCTGACTCTCCTATTCTCCTCCACATAAATGTACACACATTCCACACACAATTTTGTGTACTGTTTGGGTCACTCACAGGCTCCTCCCCTGGACCTCTCCATGAATCACCCTGTCTACAGCTTTAAAGACTCAAGCTGGAGCCTGGGTAAAAGCTGGGGACAGAAGATGCTAATGTCACAATTATTGAAGGGAAAAGGGTGAAGACCAGTGGCTAGCTCTGTTCTTGATCCCTGGCTAATGCTTACTGAAGACTTTCATAACTACTTCTCCTTTGGACTGAGAACTCACATTGCTGTTTGTAGTTGTCCTTCCTAAGAGGATGTGGGCCTTAGTCAAGGCCTGAGACGTGGATTAAAGTCAGGTGTGGTTAATATCTCTGGCGGTCTCAGGGCCATCCTTTTTATTAAGGTTGTGGATGGCAGGCTGCCTTATCTGTGCACGTAGTCTTATTAATGGAGAAGGGAATGTGTGGAACTTTAAAAAAAGGAAGTATGAGCCAGGTGCCAGTGGCTCATGCCTACAGTCCTAGCTACTTGGGAGGCTGAGATCAGGAAGATTGCAGTTCAAGGCCAACCTGGGAAAATAGTTTGTGAGACCTGCCCATCTCCAAAATAACTAGAGCTCCTGCTTCACAAACAAGAGGCCCTGAGTTCAAACCTCAGCACCACCAAAATAATCAGAGCAAAAATGGACTAGAGGTGCTTTTGCAAGCTAAAAAACATTCCCACCAAAAAAAAAAAAAAAAGGAAGCATGGTCTTATTATTTGGAATACCTTCTGTAAGCTAGAAAATCATAACTGATAAATGAAATGAAATAAGTAAAATATAATAGGCCCATATTATAATGTATCATCAACCCAGCTTCCTCCCTACAGATGTATAGAAAATAATCCTTAAAGTCTTGACCACTGATTGGTTTTATTTTTTAAAGATACTGGTTTCTACTCTTCTGACGTCAATCTGAACCAGAGCTAATGGTGGGGCTAATTAACCACTACAGCCCATCCTCCATCCCCTATCGTTGTCAGGGACAGCCAACAGAAATGTGGCCTCTTTGGTCACAGGTGTGTCGGGTGAGCCTTGATTAATTGGTCCATTTTTGAGATTCATGGCTGTCGAGTCAGATCCTCAGGGGCTCCTCTGGCCAGTCAGCAGGCAGCTGTGGCCTTGGCTCCTGGTGTTGCATTCCTTCTCTAGGCGGTGTATTTCTCCCTTTAAGACATGTGCTCTTTCTCTCTTTTTTTCCCCTTAGGTTAGTTGAACTTGTTCTGAGTCCAAGTAGCAAAGGCAGAGCCTGACTCTGGTATAGCAGCTCTGTGTCTCTCTGTTGGAGCCTGTAAGGCCAGTGATAGGACAGAGCAGATAGTCTGAAAGCTCTGCTGTGCCTGATGGACGTCCAGGTGATACCCAGGTGAGCCAGAGATGACTCCTGGCCCTATCACAAGTATTTGGTTCCTGGATGGGACGCTGATGGTTGCTGGCTGAAGGCTTTGGCATCTCCCCAGAAGGAGCTGAAAAACTACTTCTGTGCTTTTCTCCTGGCAGTAGGGATTCAGTTGCTAGAATTCTTTCAACTTTGTATGTGATTATGGCTTCCTTACTAAAGTGCTTGCTTCTAACTAACTTATGGCTGAAATTTTTACTTTTCTTAAGTCCTTGATTTTTGTTTATTTGTTACAGGTGAGTCTAACCCTGCCTGGCTGGAATTCTTCTGGACTTTAAATTTTTTCTTTTTTAAAAAACTTGGACGGATAAAAGATGTGCCATGGCAGGATAGCACCAAAGAGCAGCTCAGCATTTGCCGTGGTCTCTGTGGGACATGGAGTGTTCCTTCCACTGGTGATCCTTAGCACCCTGCTTGGAGACGGACTTGCCTCTGGTAAGTCTGGACTGGCCCTTTGTATGTGGGAGGGAGAAGACTTCATACCAGTGTTTCTCCAGGAGCCTGGGGTATGGGAGCCTGCTGGCAGACAGTTGCTGGGAGGGCAGAGGGTGGGAGGCTTTTGTGCTATGGTATATAGCAGAAGTCAGTCTTTCTGGGTCTAATCAGCCAGTGGTAAAGGGAGGTTGGGGGATCTGCTGGTGATAACATTTTCTCCCCTCTCCCCAATCTGTTGTCATCACCAGGCAGGATAGAGTTCTAGAATCCAGGGCATGATATACAGAAAGGGGGCAACCTTTGGAATCGGACTGCCTGTGTTCAGGGCTCATTCCTGCTGCTTTCTCTGTGACCCTGAGCAAATCACTTTTGCTGCTGTAAGCCTCTAGACTCCCTAGCTACAGACTGGGATAACAGTATTCTTTCCACAAGGTGGGGGTTGTGGAGGTACCGAGTGCTGGGATTACAGGTGTGCATCACCACGTGCAGCTTGGCATATGCTTTTGTATGGCTTGCTTGCTAACTATTTGTATTTTTAACTGTTTATAAAAGGTCGGAAGAATAATATTTCATGACATACAGAGATTATAGGAAATTCAAATTTCAATGTCCATAAATTAAGTTTGAGGGAAATAAAGTATGCTCATTCACAAATATATTGTGCTATAATGGCAGAGTTGAATAGATATGACAAAGACTGTGTGGTTTTCAAAACCTAAGCTATTTAGACTTGAAAATATTTGGCTCTTTATAGAAGTCCCTTTAGCCCCCAGCTAGCCTGGAATAAATGGTGCTCAGTAGGCAGGTACACAAATGGAAGGTCTGTCAGAGTAGGAGAGAAGGAAGGAAGAACTTCTTGGTGCCAGGTGGAACTTCCAGGGCCTTGCAACTAACCTGGCCTAGTGTATGGCGCACTGCTGTGGCCTGCCTCTTTCAGGACTCTTCTTGGAAGCTGCCCCAGCATGTTGGTAGCAGAATATGGGAAGTCTATCTTCATTAAGCCATCCCACCTACCCCCATCTTCTTTTTGTTAGCTCCACATTTCCCTTCTTCTAATCCCCACCCCATTTTCCATCTACCCACATCTTCCTTACTTTCTACCCAAGGTCTGAAGTCAATTATCAGGTTCGAGACTGGCTGGATAAAGGGATTATTATTCTCCAGTGTGGAAAAATGTATCTGTTTGTAGTGTGGGTTCGAACTAGGATGGGAAAGTTGGCTCTGTTGTTTTCTTTCCCCTTTCCCATTGCAGAGACTCTTCCTTTTCCTGTCACCCAACCCCCAGGTCTTTTCTACTCCCATAAAAGATGTACTGTCAGGGAGCAGAGTGCAGGTGGGTTGAGGAAGTTCATTACTTAGATCCAGTGCTATGAATGTTTTTCCCTCTCTCTGGAGTGGCTTCCAGGAGAGGGAGGAACCTACCTGTTGCCCTGAAACCCAGAGCACACCTGTATAGCTGTGACTGCCATCAGCAGGATGCCAAGCAAGCTTGCCAGGAAATCAAGACTCAGATTCTGTAAAGCCAAGGAAAGGCAATTTCTTTCAGGAAAAGCCCCTTCCCCTTCTTGCATTTCTTACCTGTTCCTGCAGCTATTTCAGAGAACACCTATTTCAGAGACATTTTTAAATGGGTGCTTACAAAATACACAGCCTTGTTACCAGTGGGTAGACTAGACATGTTTACATGTCATGCAAATTCATGATGATGAGAATCCCACTGGACCACAGGTAAATGGACTTCCCCAGGGGAAATTTGCTGATGTAGTCATAAATACCACAGTCATGTTCCAGTTTTGGTCATAATCTTAGATTGAATAGAAAAGAATCATGTGGTGTGGGGAGAGAATTATGAGACGCCTGTGAGAACTTATCATAAGCACTGTTGTGCTCAATGATCTACAGGCTGAGTTTGGCATGGCCCCAGCCGCAAAAGAGAGCAAGAAAGCAAAATGCAACACAGCTCCTTTTCCTAAGTTGTTTTATGTTCATAGAAGTAGGAACACAGGTTTCTCTTGTTACAATGTCACGCCCCTCCCCAAGAACTGTTGCTCCACCTCTTTGTTTACCACTGAATATAAAAGACTTGCTGAAGGTTTTTTTTTTTTTTCTTTTTTGATAGGGGATTGATGGAAGGTTTTTTGATGGGGCATTGATTGGGGGATTTTTGATTGGGGTTGATTGATTAGTGAACTGTTGGGTTATGCTAGATATTAGAGAAAACATGGGACAGTGAGAGTCTAAGGAAAGAGACTTTAAAGAACAGAAAAGAAGACTTTAGAAGTAAGGTTTTATGCTGCTGCTGCTTCTGAGTTATGCTAGAGATTAGAGGAAACATGGGACAGTGCAGGTCTGAGCACTGAGGCTTTAAGAAAGCTAAAGAGAGAACATGGGACATTGAGAGTCTAAGGAAAGAGACTAAAGAATAGAAAAGAAGCAAGATTTTAAAGAATTGTAAAGGAGTAAGGACTTAAAGAATAGAAAAGAAGGAGTGAGGCTTCATTCCATCCGAGCACCTAGCACATCTGGCCCCCAGCTATATGCATGTCTGTCTTCTATCATTTGTCCTTTCTGCATCTCCATTTGCCCCCAGTTAGGTCAGGGAGAACCAGGAGCGCAAGAAAGCACTCTACAATGTGGGAAGAGGTACTTGAGAGTTCTGGGATAAAATTATACAATGTTTGGGTTTCAATTTCCATTCTGGTGTGTCTGTCAGTCTCGCTCTTCCCCTCCCTTCTCCTCCCTCCCTCCCTCCATCCCTTCCTCTCTTTCTCCCTCTTATTTTGAGACAGGGTCCCATTGTGTTACCCAGGATGGCCTCAAGATCCTACTGCCTTAACCTCCTGAGTGCTGGGATTACAGGTGTGTGCTGCTATGCCCAAATCTTATTTATAGCTCTGGATTTGGAGTTACAACTGAAAAGTATTAGAGAAGTGTGACCAAGAGTCTAGCTTTCCCTTGGTCTTTTCTTTAAATGGGAGAATTGTTGAAAATATTCTTTTTTTCAAAGAATGGAAAAGGAAGCATAGCTTGTTCTTCACACACAGTTACACCATGCAGTGGAAAGACCAGAATTAAAAATAAAATGTATGCACATGCTCCCCAACTTGTTTTTCTTGGACTAGAGAGATTAGGACCCAGCTGTGTGGCAGCCTTTCCCACTTGTAGCTCTTTCCATCTGCCTGTGATCTTAAGAAACCTGCTATATGACCATAAGTAAATCGCTTGACCTCTTCATGTCTGCTGTTAAACCAAAAAAAAAAAAATCCTTAAGAATGTTAGGTTGATGTTGTATAGACTAAAAAATGATTGTCAGGTGCTTGGAATATAAAACATGCCATGTGATTCCCAAATAACAACAGAGTTGCTATGTGACCTACTGTTGAGTCACGCTGCATGGGAGACTTCATGTAGATGACAACCTTTGTTGTCATAAAAACACAAAACTTAAGGTGCAAAGTTACTGTTTGAGTTAGGGTTAAGGAATTTGAGAACAGGTGTCCAATTGGACCAGTGAGGAAGGGTTGATTATTTCAGGAATCTCCTTTGCCTTCCAGAAATCTCATGTTTGTATAGTTTGATGATTCCAATCCTGGCCTGCTTTGCATTCTCTCTCTTTCCTGAACATGTTTACTGAACAAAGTCAGTATTTTCCTTGTGGCTAATTTCCCCCCTAAAGTATTGCCATGATACATTAGACCATGTTAAAGGTGATAGTCACCTAAAGCAATTTCAAAATAGCAGGGAAAGCAGCCATCTGCATTTCTGTACAACTGAGTGAGAAAGCTAAGTGATTAGTTTTTGTTGAAGGTGGAAAATATTGAACCGGGTTTTTGGGAGATGATGTGGCTTTGGCCCTTAGAATTGCTATGGCAGAGAAATGTTGGCAGGTGGCCCTGGCTCACCTTAACCTCATCATCTCTGAAGGGACCTAGAGCTGGGGAGAGAGGACAGATAGGAATATGATGTGTTTGGAGTATCATTTCTGTGTCAGGCTGTATGTTATCATTCAGAAGCTCTCAGAACATGTAGGTAAGGTGAAAGAAAAACTGAGACAGATGTTAGATAGCTTACTTGGAGCCATGATTATAAGTGGTGGAACTGGCTGAGCTTTGTGCCCATTCTGACTCTGCTCTGCTACCCATGGTCTTTACTGGAATCATCGTACCTGTGCCAGTGGGCAGGTAATTCTGAGACCCATTTCTTGGGTCAGGTCAGAATATTATTTTGACAAAGGAAGAAAGACAGTGTCTTGTATTTATTTTCTGCCCGTAGTTAAAAAGGACACAGGAGGCCAGGTGTGGTGGCTCACTCCTGTAATCCTAGCTACTCAGGAGGCAGAGATCAGGAAGATTGCAGTTTGAAACCAACCCAGGTAAATAGTTTTCGAGACCCTATCTCAAAAAAAAAAAAAAAAAAAACCCTTCACAAAAAAGGGCTGGTGGAGTGGCTCAAGGTGTAGGCCCAGAGTTCAAACCCCAGCACTACAAAAAAAAAAAAAAAAAAGGACTCAAGAGTCATCTCTGGGTTACCATGTTTTCCTCTGTTAGTGTTTCTGTTCTCATCCCAGTAGCTCTTGGTTGTTTGGTTCCAGTTGAGGCATAAGGTTGCCAGGCTCGTTCTATTCTTGGAAAGGAACAATAGGGACCATAGCAAAGTGTTTGCTAAATGAGGATGTAGTTCCCAAAACATCCGCAAAGCATCTTCCTGTCAGCTGCAAACCCTACTGACAAAGTGATGTAATCGCTCCATAGAGTAATTACCTGAGACTATAAAAAGACTTGGGGATTGTGGTAGGAGGCTGGGTGGGTCATTATTTGGCATCAGGAAAAGACATGGGAAAATTACCCTCGCAGACTAATTGTGCCATGCTTAGAACATTATGAGCACATGACACTACCCTTGCACTGCAATTTTCTAACAGGAGACCTGGGACTGCCAAACTGAACACCCTGATATCTCTCTCTCCCTCTTTGGCGGTAATGGAGTTTGAACTCACGGCC